TATATATATATATATTACATTGTTAATATTTAAAAAATAATATTATTTTATGTGTAATATTAATATGGATGTTTTTATTTATCTTAAATTAAAACCACAAGACAATAATCTTAGTTAAAACTTTTTAATTTTTTTTTTATCAATTTTAGATTTGTTTGACAAATTTTTACTTATTTTTATATGCGCCAATTGTTTTAAAGTTAATGGAACAAACACGATTAAACCAATGGTTAAATATAATTTTTAAAATAATAATTAAAATAAAATAAGACTCATGGAAATGAACTTAATTACCTTAACAAGATTATGAAGGACCATAAATTGTGTATTGAACAAACAATGATCACAAAATTAAGAAGGGGTTATCTAATAAAATAAAATAGCAAACTAAAAAAAATATTAAGAGAAAAAAATAATAAATTTGTTGGATAAATTATTTTTCAAATTGGTCCACAATTTTTAAATGACTAAATTGGAAAAAATTATTATTCAAATTCCTTTAATAGTATTGTTTTTCTCATTTTCTGAATACACCATGATCTATTATCTATTTTAATACATAATTTATTTTTAAAATAATAAAACAATATTATAGTAAGGGTCATAAATTCTAGTTATAAAATATTTTTTTTAAAAATAATTCTTATATTTCTTTTTATATATCTCTTTCAATTAAAAAAAAGAAACATTATTTTATTTTAATAATTTTGTCATTTAGTGACCAAATCAAATTCGATATCAATCAAATAAAGAAGATTTAAGTAATTTTTTTTGTGTTTTGCGATTAAATTTATGATTGGTTGCCAAATTATATACAACTCGATTGTTAAAGGATAAACAAATTAAGTTAAAAAATAAAGTTGCATAGTGACTACCGGTAACTAATTAAAAATAATAACTAAATCTAGTTTGGTCGAATGTAGTAACGACTAATTAAATTTGATGAATATTTTAATTTTTTTAGTAACTTAAATTAAAAAGGTTGATATTGTGTTAATATATTTGTATAATTTTAATTTTAAACATAAGTTTTATACAATCTATCCAACATTTGTGAATTGTGACCATACTTAGCTTTTTGCTTCGTTCAACCCATCCGTATATTTTTTTTTTTTTTTGATAAGCCAAATAATTAAAAATAAAGGAAGTACAAGGGGTACTTCAACCCATTATAAAATACTACATGTGAACTAAAATTATTGTTCCACAACAAGGAACCTAAGCTAGACCATCACAACCA